TCCACAGAATAATTACACATTATTAAATAAAAAGCGTCCCCGCACGAACCTCTACCTCCGCCAGCAGGACCTCAATTTCAGACTCAGTAAAGCTTTTTTTTGTGCTCGTCATTCTCAAGCATAGAAATTCGGATGTTGGCGTGTGATCTTTTATATGGTAATGCTATTAATTGGGGGGCGTTTACAAGGCGGAGATCTGACACCAGTCAGCTGCGCACAATTTCAAGATCATTTGAGATTTATAATGTCACATCTGGAAGAGAGGCGTACGCACGTGTTTTTGTGCGCACGTTCGTTTTCTCTGAATCGCACTTACGCACTTTTGAGAAATGATCTTAGAACAAATTTAGGACGGTTTATACGCAACATTTTATAAATGAGGCCCCAGATTTCTGAACACCGGGAACATTCTTTATTTGAGTCAAAATATCATTGAAATCTCATTTTTTATTATCTATGAATTAAAAAACGGGGACAATACATTTTTGAATGTTTTTGTTTTTAATTGTTGTGGGTTAATAATTAATAATTTTTGTGACATTTAGTTTTATTTTTGGTCTCGTTTTAATACAGTTGACCAAAAAATCAGTTTATAGTAATCCTTGTAAATAGCAAGCAGTTGAAAACAATATTATATTATAAAAAATTATGACTTTACCAAAACACATTACAAAAATAAAGCAAAATAAATACAATAAGATATAATAAATATAACTTTAAGAAATTTTTGGACCAGTTTTAAAATTTTATTACATTTTTATTCCTGAAATCCACCCTTCTGCTGGGATCAGTATAATCCTGATTTTTTTTTGGATCAAAGGTATCCCAATCGTACCAAAACTTTTTGAACAACAACAACACAAACTGACGATTTGATCCAAATCAAATTTTGGGATCTAATCCAATTTCAGAATCCTTTTTTTTTCTTTTGAACAACCCATTTTCAAGATTTGATCCAATCAGCTATCAGAAAAGTAAATCTTGAAAAGTAATCTTCAAAAGTAATCTGATCGGATTTTGGATTACTTTTGAACAACTGGCCCCAGGTGTTGTCATTTCAAAGTGATTTCAGCATTTCAGGTCATGTCAAAGGGATAGTTCACCCAAAAGTTAAAATTTGCTGGTAATTTACTCACCCTCAGGTCATCGAAGATGTAGTTGACTTTTTCTTCAGTATAACAGTAAAGATTTTTAGCTGAAACTGTGGTCCTTGGTGATTCATAAAATGCAAGTCAACTACTAGTGTCAACTGAGAGTCCCCCCCCCCAAAAAAAGCAGGCAACATAAAATTAGCTCTTGGCGATATATTGAGGTCTTAAGTGAAACGTTCAGCCAGAAATTGAACATTATTTACAACGAAAAAAACATGCAAAACGAACACACTGGTAACCCATATAACCCCAAATAATAATTGAAACTTTTTAAAACATACATGCATTCACGTGACTTAAATGTCAGCATGTTGTGAAACTTGTAAGCGTGTTGTCGTGTGCTGACATTTACATCAAGCGTGTACTCGTGAACCCAGGTTGGATAGCTATCATGAGAGTAAATGATGAGAGAACTTTAATTTCTGGGTTAATTTTTATCCCTTTAATGTGTAAAACGTTTACAATTAGTATGTATGTGCACATTGAAATACTGTAGCATAAAACTTACATGTATGTTCCTGTCACAGTCCAACGAAACCAATAACAGCTCCTTTGGCTGGCTTCTGTGATGAAGAAGTAGAAATATCGACAGATCCAAAACTCCACACAGAGAACAAACACAGGGAGCGTGTCATAGTCCTCCACACATGTCGAAGCTCTCCCAGTGTTCTGGCCTGCTCCAGCACTCCTCTGACAGACAGAAGAACTCCACGACCAGACCCCAACAGAGAGATGTACTATGGGAAAGTGGAGGACTCATGTTACTACACATCTGAGCTGGAGAGTGAATAGTTCCTGCTGCTCCTAATGTCCAAATCATCATCTACATATGACTTAAGACAAGATTAGTCAGACACCTATGTAGTCATACTGTTTTTCTTTTTTAAATAACTTGTACAATAGCAAAACATTTATGCATGTAATTTATGTCATCACATTTTACATTAGGCTGTTAAGTATGTTTATGTCACAAGGTCTGGCCATGACTTTGTCAAAAGCATATGATAATAGAATCGTTCCACTCTCAGGGAAATAAGGCTGGGAAAAGTTTAAACATTAGGTAATGAAATACTTGTGACCTTGACTCATGTCACCATGAAGACCAAAGGACACTGAAAGAGGAACTGCCTGGTGTGAAGTTTTTATATTTGTCTATGATGCTCCTTCAAAGGAGATCCTTTACATTTGAGACAGCACAATAATTATAATTAATTTATATGTTTTAGATTATTTAAATGTAGTATTTGAAATTATATTACTTTAATGTGTAAAAGTGATAATTGTTGAGCCAGTTCTAGATATTTTTAAGTCATGTAAAAAATGCATGTTGCAATACTGAACAGTGAATCATCTCGGCCACAAAATATAAGTACTCACACATGCTAGATTTTTCTGTCATGGTGGGGACTTTCCATTTATGAGGCTCCATTAGTGCCAAAATGGAGTCAACTGCTTTGTGCTATACATTTGTCCATGTCTTCAGTCAGTGCCTATGTGTTAAGATTAACAAAGAACATACTTATCAACATCTATAAATTTATGTCCTCTTGTTCTGTCATCTTCCTTGCCAAGCTTGTTCTGTCCTTCATAGAAGACTTTTTCCAAAAATGGTGTTCCATTTGTGCCAAAAAGTGTAGACTGCTTTGTACAATACATTTGTTTATGACTACTGTTATTGCTGTTGTTTCATTTGTGTTATCTGCTTATGTCGTCCTCCCTGTCATGTGTTCAGCTTTGTTTTATGCTATAAGTTACTGCTCTCAGTGAACACCTTGCATTGCATTTTAGAGTTATCCAGGTAAACAAACACAATTAGATTTTTTTTCCACTAATGAGCTTTCAAAATCTTTCTAAAACTCTGAATATTATGACAAAGCACGAAGATAAAAGGACTATACTGTAGATTCGCTCACGTTTAGAAATATAAATGCATCTAAACGTTTTAGAAAACTCACCATTGAACATATTTATAGGTTCTGTTTGTTTACCTGGATATCTGCAAAATGGTCTGCAGAACATTCACTGAGAGCAGTAACTCATAAAGCATAAAATGCTGAACACATGCTAGAAAGCTGAACACATGACAGGGAAGACAACAGGCAATAACAGTAGACATAGATATGTGGTTGATAGTTTTTTGGCACAAATTAAATGCCATATCCATCGACTTCTGCTTTTATACTGAGCTAATGGTATTTTCTATCCTCTAACCATAAACATGAACCTCACAAACCTTTCTGCATTTTTACATGCTCATTCAGGCATATTTTTATGAATGGGACAGGCCACCCAAAAAAATCCATTAATAAATTAATTAAAATCATTTACCCATGTTTATATGATCCACAGAAGAAAATCGTACAGTTTTGGAACAACATAAGGCTGAATAAATGATGACAGAATTTTCATTTTTGTGCGAACTATCCTTTTAAACTGTTTGGACCAATGGCTTGCCTTGCATTGTAGGTTCCTTTCCTTTTTCTTTTCTGGGGTAATTTGATTCCTACAATATGCAAAACCCGACACACACACACACACACACACACACAGGTTTGTTTTTGTGAAAAGTGGGGACATCCCATAGGCGTAATGGTTTTTCTACTGTACAGACCGTATATTCTATTGCCCTACACCAACCCTTCCCCTAAACCTACCCCTCACAGGAAACTTTGTGCTATTTCAGATTTTCAATACACTCCATTCTGTGTGATTTATAAGCGTTTTGAAAAATGGGGACATGGGGTAATGTCCTGAAAAGTCACCTTCTCCTTGTAATACTTATGTCATACCTTTGTCATTATACAAATGTATGTCCTCATTTGTCACAAAACCGCGCGCACACGCGCACGCACGCGCACACACACACACACACACACACACACAGAGGTGTAAACATTCAGCAGTTAGATTATTAATCAAGCATTATGCCCAAGCTTCTGGCATGTGATTTGCATAATCAGATCATTTACAAACAGGTGTAGCATGTCATACTGAAAACGGAATTAGGCTACATCACTGTTGCTTCTTCAGCAAAGGTTTACTTGTACTTTTGACAGCCCCTGATTCTTGCATTTTTCACACCAATCTCAATAATTCTTGAATACTACAATCAGGTTGCATAACTGAAAAAGGTAAGTATTAATTATTTTAGATCAGCATTTATCATGGTGTTTTGGGCACATCTCCGGTTTCTTTCTTTCACAAAATGCGTTTTTTTTCTTCACTCAGTACGAGTCAACACTGACAGATACAACAATAGCCTACTGCTTTGACCATATGGATTGTATAGTGTTTTGCACGTTTAATTCGACCGCGACTCTTTTAGCTGTTCACCCATACCACTATTTGGCCAACAGAGGACGACGTGAATCTGAAAAAGTCTTCCTTTCGTCTTTTTTGAAAAGAAAAATAATAATTATATATATAATTATTAAAATTATATATATACAGTTTTACTACAAATCAATTTTAATTTAATTTATTGATATTTGTTAGCTCTATATTTCACAATATATGTAGCTTCTAACTTACTGACACTTTCATTTTACAGGTTTCATGTTAGGAAATGTTACATGTCTGTGCAGGAATAGTAGGCTAAACGTATAAAATGTGTGTGGGTGGACTGTAATATGACTCCTCTTATATATATATATATATATATATATATAAACATATTAACAAAAATGTTTAGTTAAGGAAAATACTTAGGAGGAAAAATAGAGAAATAGGGAAAAAACAAAAAAATTTGTAGGACAAATTGCTGCATATTCAAAATCAAATAGTTCCGTGTTCGGTGTCTGGGGCAGCTATATGATTGTTTCGTAGGCTATTCTGGACATTTGGACTTAATCACATGAAACTGTACTTTTTATGAAAGTAAAAGAAACTATTTTGATATGTGAAAGGTTTGTTTTCTGTTAATCACGCAAAGTGCATTTACTATGTCTACAGCATGCAGATTGTTTAATTAATAGGTAATAATGAAGTATAAAAAATCTAATTAATAATGCATGTATAAGTAGTCATTTCCTGAGTGATACTAATAACGTTTTATATTTTTTTCCTAGAGCATCAGGCACATTATTACATCATCCCATACAAATATTATTATATTCCATCACATACAAGTACATGGCAAAATGGCAATGTTGTACAGTTTAAAGCATGTAAAACTGAACAACAAAAACAAAATACATAAAATGAACAAACACACACACATTATATATATATATATGCTAGGATAAAAAAGTGCTATATAATATTAGGGCAGTTATAGCCTACATAAGAAAAGCTTCAGAATTTGTATTGTTTTTATAAGCTTCCTATTTTGTGATCTCGTAGGCCTATTAGAAAGGGTTTCAAAATATATTTTAAGAACAGTGTCACAAAAGATAATATATGATTTATATATGAATATATGAAGGTTTCTTTTTAACACACACACACACACACACACACACACACACACACACACACACACACACAACAATAAATAACAGTATAAAAATAAAAGATGTTTCAAAGAAAACAAAAACATACTTTTCACCTGATGTCGGACACGAAGTGCGTCATTTTCACATGCTAAATTTTATGTAACTGCCAGTAAACTTTGAAATGTTTTATTAGTTGCGTAGAACCACTCGGTGTTGCTATATGCCAAGAAAGTCTAAAATAAACGTGATGTACCCGTGGAACGTCTGGAATGAGGAGGTTATCAAAATCAGTGTGAATCAAATGCCCTACGTGTTTTACGCACAGGACGCATGGCGCATGCCGGGTCAGTATATAGTGGTGATGCAGAACGGAACGCACGTGAACCAGGTGGAGCGCACCGCGCGCAGACTCCGCGCAAAAGCCGCCAAACGCGGATATCTGATCGAAATACTGCAGACTTATTCGGGAGCTTTCCATGGGTTTCTGGTGAAAATGAGCAGCGATGTTCTTCACATGGTAATTTGCAAACATTATTACATAATAATGTGTGCAGTTTCATATTGTATATTTAATAATGTTTGAACTGTCTGATGGACTGAAAAAAAAAATGAAAACAAGTACTGGAATTACAATAATTCTTAAAAATACACATTGCCTGTCTTCTTCATTCCATTGCCTTTGTTTTTGGCAGGCAGTAAAGCTGCCCCATGTGGAATACATTGAAGAGGATTCCTCCATTTTTGCCCAGAGCATCCCATGGAACCTGCAGCGCATCCTTCAAAACAAACACGAGAGTGGAAAATACTCACCACCCAGTGAGCTAAAGTTTTTCCCCTTTCCCAAACACTTGGTTACTTCTTAAAGGGGTGGTTCACTGGTTTTTTTCTAGGCTTGATTGTGATCAGCATTTATCATGGTGTTTTGGGCACATCTCCGGTTTCTTTCTTTCACAAAATGCGTTTTTTTTCTTCACTCAGTACGAGTCAACACTGACAGATACAACAATAGCCTACTGCTTTGACCATATGGATTGTATAGTGTTTTGCACGTTTAATTCGACCGCGACTCTTTTAGCTGTTCACCCATACCACTATTTGGCCAACAGAGGACGACGTGAATCTGAAAAAGTCTTCCTTTCGTCTTTTTTGAAAAGAAAAATAATAATTATATATATAATTATTAAAATTATATATATACAGTTTTACTACAAATCAATTTTAATTTAATTTATTGATATTTGTTAGCTCTATATTTCACAATATATGTAGCTTCTAACTTACTGACACTTTCATTTTACAGGTTTCATGTTAGGAAATGTTACATGTCTGTGCAGGAATAGTAGGCTAAACGTATAAAATGTGTGTGGGTGGACTGTAATATGACTCCTCTTCTGCTGTATTTATTAACGAGCCATCGTTCGATACAAAGCACGCCCCACCCCTGCTTCAGTCAGTCCGAGAGATTCAAATGACATGTTAAATGACACGAGGATACACTTCAGCTCCAGATCTCTCTGCTTCATACGCCTGTCTTATTATATGACGAACAATAGTGCAAAAGCGAGAATTTTGAGCAATATCACCTGAAACTATTTATTTGATATTCTTTAGTTTAGCGTCCACAGAATGAAAAGCGTCGTGACGGTGTGCTGTCTGAGTTTTCTGCTGGGTCTTGTGGCTGTAGTTGAGACTGATGAAGACTACACTGAGGATGAAGAGATGATCCTGTCTCTAATTCTGCAGGATGACACCCAGCCTGAAGCAGAGAGCAGGCCATCCGCCCAGTTTTACCGGTGCACTAAGGTAAGAGATCACTACCTGCTAAATGAACTAGGCCTAATTAATTGGGCTTATTTGTGGGACTGGTGATATTACCTGATAGCATGCATGCATATATA